AAACATGTCCTTATTAGTCATTTGATGTTAAACAACAACCGCTAACTATTGTATAACCAAACAATTATATTTATTGAATCCGCTATTTACCATCCGCTACCCACTTTCCGCTATCCACAATCCGCTATCCGCTAACCGTCACCCGCTATCCGCTACAGCTATCCGCTATCCGTTAAATTTTAAGCGCTGTACCTAACAGGCCCTTAGTTTGAGAGAGAGAGTTTCTCTCTTATTTTTACTTTTAATTTCATCATATTTTAATTTAAACAAACTAGAGGAGAAGGGGAAAGAAATAGAAGGAAAATTTCTTTTTTTTTATTTTTTTTTCTTCAAACCAAACAAATAATAAGACACAGATAAGGTTGTATTAAAAAATTATATGCAAAAGTTGTTAATTAAGTTAATTTTCAAAAGAAGAAACCGCAAATGACAATGTCATTTAGATTATAATTTTATAATAATATTATGACATTTAATGAATAAATATATATAATATTATATATCATTTTCAAATAAATAGAATCAATAATAACATCAAGCTCTCGGATTCGATGATTCATCCGTAAACCTTAATGTTTAAGTTAAGTTAGTTTAGGTTTTTAACTCTCATTAACGACTTGAAAAAAATTCTCTCTTCTCTAAAATTCTCCATGTCCAAAAAAAGAAAAAAATAATTAGTAATATATAATTACATGATATAATCATAAGGCTATAATGTTACCTATAACATTTTCTTTAAAAAATAATTCTCGTGATGACACTTTTTTTAACCACTAAAAGGGTGTTCGAATTAGTATGATATGATTTTTAACTTTTATTATCAAAATTTAAATAATTAAAATTAAAAATTAAAAATTAAAAATAAAATTTTTAACTTTTTATATATAAAATTTTAAAATTAATACTTAAAATTTTAAATTTAATTAATTTATAAAATTTTTAATTTTATTTTAGAGTTTTTAAAATTTCAAAAGCAAAATTAAAGACTTAAAATATAATCATATTAATAATCATAATTAATTTGTCAACCATCAACTATTCTGCAAGAACTAAAGTCACTAGAGAGAGATTGATGTTGAAACTATTACTAGTAGTCTATGTAACATAAGGCTAAAGTCAAAAATTAAAATGAATATGTAAATAATTAATCCGAACGTGTTAGTAATTGTTAGCATTTTTTAATTTTTTTGATTGTTGGTTAATTACACAGTAATAATAATCTTTCATTCATTCTTCCACTGCACTTGCATTCTCATTGAGTTGCAATTCAATTCAAGAGAAAGAATTTGTATTTTGTCCTTGGATGATTGACATTTGTCGTTATTTTTAAAGATCTCAAAAGCATTACACTTGCTCCATCGGTCTCATGCAAGTGCACCCCTATTCCCTGCCCAAAGGCAGGATTGGAACTGCCCTCCCAATTGTAAGTTTGTAGCCCTTAAAATAATTCTCAAAACTAGGGTATAATTGAACAGAAAAAATGATAGGTAGTTTATTTTGCATAGATTATATATTTTATAATTCTTGATGAGAGATATCTCCCTTTATATTGGGGTAGTTCTTTTTTCATCAATAATTATAAAATGTGTAATTCACATAAGATAAATTGTAAAATAATAATTTCTTAATTAAATTATTATCTAAAAACTAGTGAATATCAATATAACTTTCAACCAAGGAGTGGAAATGGAAGACTAATGTGCTCCTCTCATCCTCATCCTCCAATGAAAAAGGTAATTTCTCGCAAATTGTCCAATTTTAGTATACATGTCTATTTTAATTAGATTAGTGAGATAAACTTAATTTAACACGTAAAAGTTAACTTATGATACCATTTAATTGCCAAAAAAAAAATCTATATAACTTTGAGATATCAATGAATGCTTAGTAAGGAACTAACCATAGTTTCAAATTCACCAAGATCTATGAGTGCAAGTCATTAAATGAAAGAAAAAATGTTATGCAGGTTAAATTGCACTAGAATGTATAACACTAATTATTAAATGAGGATAGGTCTATTGATATTGGAGCTCTACTGAATACACACCTCATCTCATGATCCTTATTTTGTAGTTCATGCAATTGAGATTACAAAATAAGAGACTTTTAAATGATAATGTACATATGGAATGTTTAACATTAGAAAAAGTTTGAGGTCTCAGTTGAACCTAATAAAACATGAAGGTAAAAATTGAACCTTATCAAAAAGTCCAAGAACTACTTGTATATTTCCTAACAAG